CTTCAAGTTGCAAAGTTCTAGCTCGGGTATATGCTTGGTAGTTCTTTATGAAAGGTTAGGGTTTCAAAGTTCTGTTTGGTCCATTTCATTGCATTTATCACTTGCTGTCACGCATGATCACTGCAAGGTTCTGCATAGAATTGGCAGGTCTCTTCCCATACGTGGATATAGAAATTGATTTGGATAATCATTAAGCCAATTATATACATGAATCTTGACGCAAAAGCAGACAACACTACAGACTTTGTCATTCAAAGGGTAAAATCGGTAGCCTATAAGACTTTTTACTTAGTTGTGTGTGAAGTCTAAGCTAGTGTTATCGTCCCCCCATCACTACTCATCATCTAGTGCTTGACCTCTTGGCATTCATGTTGGTTGGTTCTCAAGCCATTTTTTGAACATCTAGATCAGGCTTACATTAGAAGCTACATGCTGGATAAAATGTGTTTGTTTCCACTTCTTTGATTCGATGGAAACATCTTTCATCCGAAATGTGCACCGTGTTGTGATGATGGTTAGAGGACTTTGATTTGATCTTGGGGCCCAAATTCTATTCTTTTGCCGATGGGATAAAATTTGGGGAACTTGTGTACAAAGTTAGTAATATGGTGGTTTACTAACTTATTTTCTTCTATTTGGTAATTCAAAAATTTATTAGCTAATTTAAATTTTATCAGGTGACAATTTAAGAAGTCATGCAGTTATAGTTGAAGGACCTAGTAAGTTCCCTAAGTAAATAGTAGAGTCTGGAAATCATCTATTTCCCTATCCTTTCTCTTGTTGGCTTTACTCCAGGGTCTACATTCTTTTTGGTGTTAAATGAGTAATGACTGGTTGGAAGGGAGATCTAGGCATTTTAGTTGTTAAACGAGTGATGACTGGTTGGATAAAAGGGGAGATTTAGGCATGGAGACATCGATGAGATTAAGTGTTACAATAAAAAATTAGGCACTATCATTTTGGTTGCTTTGTGTGTTATTCCGAATGAAAGAAACAGAAAAAATTTCTTAAGACAATTTTTTCTTTTTATAGAATCAAAGATGTTTGATTTTAGATCTTAGATTTTTGGTTTCAGACTTAGATTAATATTTTGACTATATTTGTGAAAGTGCTTAGGTAGGTTCAGTTCTTTGATGCTTATATATAATCTATAAAACTTTTTTCTTGGGAACAAAAAAAAAAAAAAAAAAAAAAAAAAAACATTCCCAAATAAATTTTCTTGGCAGGACAAAGCATTTGATTGAAGACTTATTATGTTGTACTTTAGGGGAGTCAAGCAGCCAGCAAATTGGCTACTGAATTCCACGGGCAGTTGACAAATAACATGTGTTGCTCTGCTTTATTTTGTTTGTCGTATTTGGTCCATCTTTTTGTCAAAAGCAATTTGAGAAAGAAAGTAGGAAGAGCCAATAAAGTTTCATGAGCTGGAAAATCCCAGGATTAGTTTGCCGAGATCAAACAATAATACTTTTAATCTTTAATCCTACTACAAACAGTTCAATTCAATAGCTTTCACATGAAGAAATCATCAAATGGTTTTAATTTTTCACCTCATGATGACTGCCCATCATTATTATTTGCTTACTATCTGCTTTCCACTTTTAACCCAGAAAGGAAAGCTAAAAACAAGAAGAAAACTTCCATAATGAAATGTTATTTACTTTTACTTCACGTTTAGTCTTGTTGGGCTAATTTATTTTGAACAATTATTTTTAATTTTTCAAATTGTCTCCAATTAGTTATATATGCTAACATGTTTACTGAAATTAATTGAATAGTTAATTCCAGAGTCATAACATTAGAATTTATTTGTGGAGTTTGCAAGTATCTCTTACATAATCTATTAGGATTGAATTTCGAAGTTTCTTTAGATTTTTCAATTCAGTGGTCTTTCCAAGTGTCCATTTGTGAGTCAAAAGGTTTACTCAATTTATTAATGTTGCTTCATGTACTTTCGCAATACGTGGTGTCTAACATTTGTTTTATAAACTCTCTTCTGAGGAAATTTGGCATTGTTGACTCTTTTAGCAATGTTTAAAAAATAAGTAAAATGTGATTAATAACTTGATTGTTTTAAGTTTATTTTGTATTCTACTCTTTTTTTTTTTTGCCCCCTATAATTTAAATAAATTGTAAAATGTGCCCAATTATCAGTTGATAAAAAATAAACTTTTTACCTATGCTACTTGAGTCCACCATAATTGATAGTACTTTTTAGAACTGGGAAAAAAAAAATTTAATCTAGTACGTGAAAAATTAATACGGATCCCTCCCTAACCATTGAAATAAAGAAAGCAGAAACAAGAAAGACCCTCCCCCCCCAAAAAAAAAAAAAAAAAATTACACCTTTTTGTTAAATCACATGTTATGTTCTTTAGTTGTTGTTTTATTGTTATTATTATTATTTGATTAATTATGTTTATTGGTCTTGCGTTATGATTTACCCACATGATAAATCTTACATAAAATATGTCTAGATACATATCTGTCAAAGCAGTGAATCAATTATCAAGTCAGTTCAATGAAAATCTATATTAGACAAAATAAATAATATATATATATATATATAAAACATTCATTATATATTTGTTTATTATCTTTAACCATCTATTGGTACTGGTCATAAATTATTTGTTTTATTATTCTAATTTTGATTATTGGTGCTAAATTATTTGTTTTGTTTATTCTCCGGGAAAGGTACATGAATAAAAAGATCAGGATTTGAATCCCTCGGGGAACAACAAATACTATACTCAGCTGACTTGGCCTCCCTACTCCTAATTCCTTAATTATTTATTAACTGCAGTTTAAGGGAAAGCAGTCTGGTTCTTAACCAAAATGCGCAATTAGCAACACATCACGTGTTTCGATCTTCTCTGAATGCCGCCAGCAAAGCGAATGAATATTCGTCTCCGCATTATTTGGGAAGTACGGATCCATCCAACGGCGGACGTAAATCTCCACCACTGTTGGCGCCACACCTGATTAATATACATTTTTCTTTACCTGCAAGTCTGACGTAAACGATACTTACGTAATACTCACTTACCCAATCGCATCTTTACACGCTCTTATATTAGGGGCCTCTAGCGTAGTACCACGCTCTACGCAACCAATCATCGTCGAATGTAGGAATTGAATGATGGAACGCGGTACAGGTGATTACTTCCAGGACCCCGACGCGCTTTCTTAATACGCGGTTTCTGGTTGGGAAGGCTGATAGATTAACGGACCAGACGGGACAAAGTGGGGCCCACTGGCAAAGTTTCTGATTTTTTTCTTGCTTCACTTTGATGTTTACTAAGTTTCCTCTATATTTTATTTTTATTTCATCGACAAATCAAATTACTGTTTGTTCAATTTCAGACCTCACTGAGTGTGTGTGAGGGAGAGAGAGAGAGAGAGAGAGAGAGAGAGAGAAAGAGAGACAGAGAGAGATGGGGAACTGCTGCTCTGACGCCGGCGGCGGGATGGCTGCCGTCGGCGGAACCGCCGGCTCCGCCACTTCTGGCGGCGCGAACGATGCCGTGGATTACTTCCTGAAGTCTCGCGGCTACAGCGGTCTCTTCTCTCAGATCGAGGTTCTCTCGCCGCCATTCTGAATTTTACTCATTTCTTTATTTATTACGTTGGTTGCTCAAAAGTGTTATCTAGATTAGTGGAACTAGTGTCTCAATCGCTTCGGTAAGATGATGAACGACACTGTTCTAAGTTCTGCTATCATTGAATTTGATTCTGAATTAAATTTAAGAGTTAAGTCTTTCAAGGCTAGTGGTCTAAGTTACAGAATGGAGAATTTTGGCTAAATTAGAGCATTTTCTTTGCCTCCTTTTAGCCGAATAGAGGCTAAAACGCCCATAGTTGCATTGTTGACTTTACTCTGGCAAATGCAGTAACTTCGTTGGTAGCCTGATATGTGGAAGAAACTTTTGAATTACTGCTGAGACTCATTTGCTATATCCTAACTTGTTAGATTGACATTCGCCATTTTCATCTGATTTTTTGTTTCTATGATTAGTAGCACGAGAATTTGAGATGAGGAGGCCACTAGAAATCTTAAAAGATATAGGTTCTGGGAATTAACAAGCTTCGTATTCTGGAGCTCATGGTTTATATTTTAAGAATTGCAGGATTGAGTTCGTATCTGCTGAAAAACTGTTTTAAGTATGACCTATGCTTGGATTTTTAGTACCTTTTTTAATTACCTGTGTGATAGTTCCTGACTGCTCTGCATAAATGATTTGCAGTTATCTTTTTCTGCAACAGATTTGCGTGACACAGATGTGTTTTCCAAGGTTTGCTTCTTCTATTTTCTAAGTTCCAACAATATGAAATAACACACTTTACTTTCTTTCTCTCTTTATGGTACGCATAATTGTTCAGAATTGATTCTTACAGGCTTTCTCTACATTCCTAAAAGGTTTAGATGATTGTGACATTTAATTCACATTAATGCCTAAAATAATATTATGATTTATTTTGCGAGAATCAGTAATTCTTTCAGTAGGCATGAGAATACTGGTACAAAAATTAATGTTAAATCTGAGATTAACGGTGAAGCTATATCACTCCACTTTGAGAGTCAATGGACCCTCTCTCGTATTGATGAAGATTGTTCCTCCACTTTGATATTCTAAAATTTAACATCTAGTTGCTTGTGATTAAGATTCTGTTATGATAAAAGTTTTGCAAATTAGAAATCCAAGCTATTTGGAAACTTATGGTAGATGCACAATGTGACTCTACATTAATGATTTAAATGTTAGATTAAATTAAAGGCTAGGAGCTGAAGTCAGTTTTCTAATTAGTTCTTGGAGTGCTAATTATATTTAATCACTATAACAGTAGCCAACATGACAGAGAGAGTTATAAATGTTTATTTGGATTTTACCGTAGGTAAAATTTGAATATTATGGCATTCAAGGGGTGTTTCAAGTTGCTTTCCATAGTTATATACTGTTGATATGATCTTGAATCTCTAATTGTTCTAAGGTTGATTTTTGTTGTCTTTTTCTTATAGGTGGATTGTTTTCTTTAGGATTCTAGTTTCTTTCACATTTAGCTGTTTTGAGTTTACTTATATCATTTATTTATCGTGCAGTCAGTCTTCATTTTTCAGTCACCAACAGTGTATTTTTGTTGCAGAAAGCTTAGCATGTTATCTCATACGTTTTATTTGCTTTAGAGTGATCCAATGCTGGTGGTTTATACAAAAGGAAAATATGGGACACTTACAGAAGTATGTCGTACTGAAGTCATTCGCAATTCGTTGAATCCTACATGGATAACAAAACAAACAATGTCTTTTCAGTTTGAGACTGTCCAAACTTTGTTGTAAGTTTTAATTCTTTAAGTTCTCTGAAGATCAACCAAGTAAGCATTTAATTAGTTTTATTATCTTGTAATGTGGAATGAAATTATTACAGGTTTGCTGTCTATGATATTGATACTCAGTTTCAGGATGTAGAAGTGAAGGTACATTCAGTGATGTTGGCTTCTTTCTTCCCCCCTAAAGTTGAAATCTGCATCTCCAGTGCAACCAACAATTGCATGCTGAAGACTTTGTCATCAACCTATCAATTTATAATGCTTGTTTTGAGCATCATGTGCATAATTTTTTCTGTTGAGTTCAGTTGTGAAATAGATTAACATGGAATAGAGGGAAAGAAAATCACTCACACTGAGAGAATCAATGGCAATAAAAAGAGTTTAAAAGCATTAGTAAATCCAAGTAAAATGAGCTTTTTTTTTTGTTCTAAAAGATATGAACTTATTTTTGTCAAGGCCACATTCATTTCTTCATAATTTATGTATAATAGATCCAAGTTAAAATGCTAGTGTCATTAATATTTCTCTTCTGAAAGAAAATCTTATGTCATGTTGACTGTAGAAGACTTCAAGCAACAATTCAAAATTTTTCAAAATTTTATTCTAATGCTTCCTTTGTTTTTTTATCTGTTCTATGCATGTAAGCAAAAAAATATTCATTTTGTTAGTGATGCTTGTGCTTTTGCAGATGCTTAAGTTGGATGAGCAGCAGTATCTTGGTGATGCAATCTGTACGTTGTCTGAGGTATATGAGCCATTTCAATTCATGTTTACTAAAGGGTGAAACCTAGATCTAGATTGAACTGTATGATATTAAAATATAATATCACATTCAGTAGCCAAGAACTATGAATCAAAGTTTTGAAATCTAACTGCGCTTCGCTTTGAATTTTAATTCCAACACATTTACTTTGCTTGGCTTTTACTATATTTTACTCATCAACTTCGCAGATTGTCACAAAACCAAACCAGACATTAACTTTAGATCTTGTACATAGAAAAGATACATTGGGTAGGCACCAACACTGTGGAAAGCTTACTGTCCATGCTGAGGAGTCCATTAGTTCGAAGACAACAACAGAGATAATATTTAGGTGTATGGATTTGGAATTGAAGGATCTTTTCTCAAGAAGTGTATGGGTCATAAGTTCTTCTCTCTTTTTCCTTTCCAGAGACTATGGATACTTTGTAATTTGTCGCTTCGAGTTATATTGCAGGATCCGTTCTTGGTGATTTCAAAACTCGTGGAAAGTGGGATTCAAATCCCTGTGTGCAGAACTGAAGTTTTAAAAAATGAACTCAGACCAACATGGAAGCCTGTGTTTTTAACTGTACAACAAGTTGGAAGCAAGGTACTATTAGTTTACTTTATGTCACTTTTTCTTTTTCCAGTGTAATGGACTAACATATGCATAAACCATCAGAAACTCAGTGTAAACTGTGCTATAGTCATATGTCATTCATTTTTTTTCAGCAAATTATGGACAAAGATCCTGCTTGTCTATAATTGCATGAGAGTGTGCTATTTAACACTCCACAAGAATTAGAATCCCTATAATACATG